TACTGGCGCCCAACCTAAGAAGAAGAAGAAGAAGAAGAAGAAAGGAGAGGAGCTACGAACAACGCGTGACTAACCAACCAACAAGGGGGGGGAGTGAAGGTGAGGTAAGGACGGTTATAGAGAGAAGAGGTGGAGCCCAACGTAAGGGCTGGACGGTTAGAGAGAGATGGCGCCCAACGTGGGGTTCAACGTCTCTGCAAAGGCGGGATAAGGAGGAGAAGCACAACAAGACCCAACGCCAAGAAGGACACCGGTCAGGACGGACTGAGCTTCAGCCTACAGGTTCGACCGCTCCGGCCACAGCACAACAGCAACAACGAAAGCAACCGGCGACAAGGTCAGCTAGGAACTGTACACAATGGCCAGCAAATCCCTCAGGAGTCAAACAGTAGAGACCCACAAGGAGGACCAGGAACTACTGGCAGGGGAGCATAATCCTACCAACTCAGGTAATTCTCCGCTCGGATTAGGCAGTGCGGGTGAGACGCCCGGACCTCACAACATGCGGACCCCAGAAGTCGAGTTAGGGACGACAGGTCAAGCTAGTGAAACAATACAGCAAAGCCAGCCTAACCCCCTAGTGTGTTTAGACCGTTTAGACAGTGCTACCCAGTTGCAACAGATGTTACAAGGTTTTTTTGCCAGCATTAAGTCAGAGTTGAGCGCCCACCAAGAGAGTGTGAAGTCAGATTTGAATAGTGTGAAACTTGACCTACACTCAAATCAGGAAAAATTGGTTCAGTTTCAAAATAGTGTGAAAACGGACCTTCAGTCCAATCAGGAGAAAATAGAGATTTTCCAGGAGAAAGTTAGAGCCGATATCAAATCGGAAAACCAAAAGCTACTCCAAACTTTCGAGGCCCAGACACAAGGACTCCAGAGTGAATTCAATAGCAAGCTGGAATCGGAGGCTAGGCGGGTGTCTCAGCTGGTTTCGCAGGTTCAGACCGAAACCACAACCGAACTTGTTGCAGTTAAGCGACAACTGCAGGACATAGGCGCTGAATTCGATTCCAGGTTGGTCCCCGTAAAAAGACTGTTACAGAGCATCAATACGGAGTTCAACACTAGGCTAAACCACTCCAATGTTAGCACCCGGGTAGTGATAAACGAACTTGCCGATCAGATGGAAGAGCATCGATCGGAAGTCTCAATTCAAATGGCACAGCAGAAGGAGAGTTTGGAAAAATTATCACAGGCGAACACACAAGAAGTTGGTCGCCAATTGGAGCAGTTGAACGCGAAGTTGGTGGGGATAGAATCCAAATTGAGCGAAACATCAGATAGGCCAACTTTAGCGACAGAGGCGAGTGTGGTAATCCACAACTCCCCGTCTCCTTCTGCTGGACCAACTAGTGACCCTGCGCTAGGACCTGAAGGGACTGAAACAAGCAGTGGATTGGTCGGTGAAGCAGTTAGCTGTACTCACCAGCCAACCACCTTCCACACAGTAGCTAGTAGTAGTAGCAGTGTGGGTGTCTGTGTGAGGCAGGCCACCACTATTGAAAATGTTTCATTGTTGGGTTACCTCAACAATTCAGAATTGCTTTTACCACTCTTCGACGACGCTTCAGAAATGAACCCTGTTTTCCACCTCAGGCGATTAGACGAATTCATTCATTTCCGGAACGTTCCAAAGTCACTTTGTTTGGCAATCGCGTGCCGTTCCCTAGTGGGACACTTAAGCAAACAGTGGATCGAGGCTGTAGTACACAAACTGCCCAACTACGAGGCGTTCAAGAAGGCATTTTTGGACATCTGGTGGTCAATAGCGAAGCAGTCTTTAGTTAAATGTACTCTCTATCAGACGAAGTACGATCGACGATCCGGTTTAAGTCTAAGTGGACACTTCCTTAAACATGTGAATATGGCAGCTTATCTAGACCCAAGGCCTTCAGATGTAGACCTGATCGAGGCACTGAGGGCACACTATCCGGTGGGGGTGCAGCGCACCATGCTCACCAACCAGCTGCAGACCATCGAACAAGCTTTAGATCTTCTTTGAAGGGTTGAGCTGATGGAGCAGTCAGAAAATTATCAGAGGACACACACACAATCCCAAAATTCCAACCCCAATCGACCAGGGAACAACCTGCATCAAAATGACCACAGAAGTCAGAACCAGACGCAGGTGTGCCAAGTGAAGTTTTCCCAGTCCCAAGGTCGATCACACGGCTATCGGAGACGAAATCGTAGGAACCATAATTCAGGGAGAGATGGAGAATCCGCAGGTGGAAGCTCCGGCACCCTTAACCCCAATGCACCTCCATACCAGGGAAGACAAGAACAGGACAGACCTCACGACAATCATCTGGGAAACCACTGAGTGGAGTTATGGAGAACCAAATGACTCCCGTTAAGATACCTCACGTATTCCAAGGTCCACCCAAGGAACCCCGAACCTCAGGCGAACCCAGTAGAGAGAGGGAGTCTGATGACGAAATTAGGTTAGAGGGGCGATATGTTCCTCCGAAACGTCTGCCAAAACGAATACACGGCGCCTAAACCCAGAAGACGACTTTCTTCATAGTAATAAAACTGCTTGAAAATTCCTACAAAGTCCAACCTTACATCATGCAGGTGCATTAGTTTAGTAACAGAAACACAGAGGGAACTGATATACATCAACTAACTACGTATGTTTTTAGACAGTAGATGAGAAGACAAAAGGTTCTGGACTGAATGGTAGCAAGCATTACCCAAATTCAATCTCCTCTTTATTTCCTCCTGAATCAAATTTTATTAGTTGCTGTTGTTCCAAAATATATGAACTGTGCCACATTTTCAAAGTATCTGTTAGCCATCTTTATGTCATGATTTTGTGCTGCATTTTGGTGACAAGACAGTCACCATGGCATGCCAAGTCCTCAGGTTGTGGATAAAGGGGAGAGCCTCCAGACATGGAGGGCAGCTACAAATATACTGAATAAGCAGTCATGAACAGCTGAGAAGAGCAGTTCCTCCAGCTTGGGGGCTGGGAAAGGGGCTAAAAACTCTTCACTGTAAAAAATAAGTTTGTTACAAAATGTCACAAAGGGCCTTGGACCTGGATGCATTTTTTGGGCTGATACATATTACAGTGAGAAATTTGCAGCTGCACTTATACCTATACAAGATGAATGGTAATAGAGACACTGTGTAGTAAAACAGATGAGTCTCTTTCCCTGTCCATTTGTTGCTTAAGTACAGTCTGCTGTTGCTTGCATATTCTTCTCAGCCAGGGAAGCTGAATTTGGTCCTTCAAGAAAGAATCTGTATCCCTGCATAAAAACAAGTTTTTCTTACCACTGGCTGCACAGTTTTGACAGTTCCATATGTCTTATTATTTGTGATCACTGCATCCCGGTCTTCCGCAGCCCTAGCTTGCTCAGCTGCAAACTCCGGAGTAACAATACCTCTTCGATCTGCAGAACAGAACCTTATTAGTACATTTTTCATTATTGTTTATGCAACATCTATCAAATACGACTCTGTCATCTTGCATGTTCAAAAATACCATACTGTTCACAAATTCTGCAAAATTTGTATCCTTTTTACATTTTGTTACATCATGAAATTCTTACTCCTGCCACTTTTATCTGCATTTAACAAGTGGGAATAGCCTGACTGGCACATAAGTCTCATCCCTGGTTCCAGGCTGAAAGTTTGGTATAAACACTGAGAGTTATCAGTAAATGTTAACATTTGAGAGCAATCTTGGAAGGAAAATTCTAGTAAAATATCCCCAAGTAAGAGATTCATACTCTGGTGACAAAACTGAATTCATTAGGCCTTATGTTTCATATCTTCAGGTAAATTTTATTCACCATGTGCACTGATATAATAAAGCTAGCATGTTTGAACCCACCAAGCCAAACAGTTAGCCTACAGCTTTCCTCATATCAGACATTCCTATTGAATTCAGCAAGATATGAAGCTATAGTTATCACATTCTGTTGATTCACTCACCAATAAGACTTGGGGGTACTGGTCCACATAACACATAGAAACAATTGGAGCAGACATTCCCTTGGCTATAAGGATTAAAACTTTCTTGGCCACGTTTACTGCTGAATGAACCTTTGATCTAAGGAAGAAAACATACTGATAACACTCCAGAATAAAGCAATGGAACAAATACAACAACAAAGTTTGAAACTGGTACTCAATCTGCTGCCATCATGCAACAGCAGTGTTGGGAAAATGTTTTGTGAATAAGGTAAAAGATGTAAGATTTGAGGTTTTCACAGCAGTTACTATGAGTATGAAGAAAGCAGTCTTCTGGGATGTTGCACCGTATAGATGTGGTGTTAACTGACATTTCGGAGGAATATATTGCCTCCATCTTCATGGTAGAAGGAAAAATAAGAAATCTGCAAGCGAAGAGACTGTGAGAACCAGTACAAGCAGGTTAACACATCTACATGGTGCCAAATCCCAGAAGATTTCTTTCTTCAAGGTAAAAGATATTTCATAAAACAAAGTTTATTTGTGCTATGTACAATTACTCTAATTTCTGGACCATAGTAAAAGTTTCTTTTTGTTAGTTCCACCTGCTGATTATTGCTCATTACATACTTCATAGAAGGTCAGAAAAGAAAAAGGGCCTTAACAATGCATCTGTATCATACAGATATCACACAGCAGAAGCAAGCAGCTGCAATGGATGACCAAGTGAGTTTACTGCTCATTCCATACCTTCAGAATGTGGTCACTTTCAACAGTTATAGGCTGTTTCTGTTTCTCGTATGTCACCTCAGTGATGCCCAAGAGTACATAGCAATGTGTGTGCATCATATTTCATGAAAATATCAGAAAAAAAACAACAGAAACTTATTAACTGATGCATATAATGTTTGTAGATGCAACAGTGAGACAGAATATGAGTTTGGGGTGGTTATGTCATTTTAAAGGGGGATAAATATCTGTCGAAAGTGCCAAGAGTCCTGGATGCCCTCAAACCGGTAGCAATGATGGACTGGTGGCTCAAGTAAATTATTTAATGTGAAATGACTGATGAAGAGGCAGGAATTTCTTATGGCTGACCAAGCCACTGTATCAAGATGTCAGAATAAGAAGCCTAGTCAGAGTCATTTCATTACTGCTGCCTCAGGTTTAGAAATAAAACTGCTTGCCTGTGGTTTCTGACTTCCTTGAACATGACTTCATCATTCATCGGTAATCTGTCAAGATGACAGGTCCACAGTCTCTTCCAAAACAGTTCCTCCATTTAATGCGATCTAGAGCTTTCACTTTCAAATGAGAATATCCTCTTCTGTCCCCAAGGTCATCCAGCATCTTCTTATGTCTTCTGGTCACTTCTATCCGCCCCTCTATCTTTCCTTCAATAACTTCTTTTAGAAGGCAGTTACCGCGTAAGATATGACCAATCCAGTTAGCCTTCCGTTTTCTTATTTCGTGCAGGATATTCCTCTGCTCACTGACTCTAAATAACACTTCTTCATTTCCCACATAATCGGTCCGACTGATCCTCTCCATCTTTCTCCAACGCCACATTTCGAATATGAATATACAGATGAATACTTCGTGCACCACGAGTATGTTTTACAGGGATAAAGTTAACTGACATTTGTATTCACTAATGATGAGATGCCTCTGTTACATAGCACAACATAAAAAACTTCAGAAATGGGAATCTGGCAGGTGATGAATTCACCATCACAATGTACCTGCTACAAACTGCCCAAACTTTATGGCAAGTTTTAGACAAACGCAACATTCCACATGTGAGACAGCCTCCCTATGCATTACATATGACACTCTACCTACTTTCTGTTCTTTAACACCCCATGTCCACGCACACACCTCTTTCAAGGTGAAAAATTTGATGATGTGGAAATAAAGGAATACAATGCACTAGAGCAGGTGTTGGCAATTACTCACACTGAGTTTGAAAACTGGTTCTAGAACAAGCAGAAATGGTCGAACCAGCGTGCACAAGGTCATGGAAAGAAATTCATGCTTCATATGTACACCATACTGTTAATGGGCATACTTCCGGTTTTCGTCATTCAGTTTTCAGATAGTCCATTAAAGTCTTCTGTACATATATATGTAATAGTTTCTCAAGGGATTTAAAGATTTTCCCATTTATTGCAAATACTGCTATTAATAACTTCCCTGCAGTAGAAAAAAAAAAGGTTCTACATGAAAGCCTGAGAACAATACAATTGTGAGCCAATTCAATCCACATACACCACTTTTCTCTCAAACCTCTCTTCAGGCTATTGTTCTTGTTCTTGTTTTTTTTTTATTTCAAATTCAAGCAGATCCAAGTAGATTCACAAACCCTTGGATATAGAATGTGTCATATATCAGAACAAATGTTCCAATTAATCTTTGGAACAACTCAAAGTAACATAATATGGAATATACATAACACAGACATATAACATAAATGAATATGATTACAAAAAACTGAATGGAAATGAAAAATGTATTAACCATTTATACAATAAAATTCCTCCAGTTTGTAAAAACAGTGCAATGACAGATATCTTCTTAAGCAACTATTACAAATTTTAGGCAACTGTACAAGCTCTTTTAATTCAAGTGGTAATTTATTAAAAATTTTAATACCAGTGTAGTAAACGCCATTTTGATACAATGATAGTGAGGAAGTAGGAAAATATAAATTTTCACAACGTCTGTACATTCTCTTGTCTTCTCTTCAATCTTCAAAATGGTCATTTTTCAATGTTTCAGAACAAGTATCTCACAATTACCTGCTTCTAGCTAAGAATACTGCACAATAAATAATTCATGTACTTCTGTTTTCATCTTCTAAACCACAATCCAGTAACATATGGCAGTGTGAATACTACATTGTTATTGTCACAGAGTTCCAGTTCTTCTTCTTCCCTTATTCTCTTTACGTCACTATTTCTTTCCCTCTCACTCCTGTTTGTGAGAGTAACCTTCTGTCCTGGATGCATTCCAGAAAGTACAGTATAGAACAAAATTTTATGAATGCAATATATACTCAAGTAATTCTGAACAGTTCTGTCTTCTGCGATATAATGCCATTTAATCCACTGATAATCCATACACGCTTATGAGAAACAAGTCAATCTTCTGGGTTCAAGCAAGGAACCAGCATGACTCAGGCAGCAAGAAAACTCTGCTCTTCAACCCTGAAGATGGATATATGTTCCTCCTAAATGCAATGGACTATACAGCATTACGTCCCATATATCTTCGTAACCAACATTGTGAGAACCTCAAATCCTACATTTGAGTAATTCTGTTACACTCTACTTTTTCTTTCCTCTTTCCTTGTTAAAAAGGTTGTTTCTTATTTAAGAGAGAGACAGAGAGTACTTTGCAAATACAGGTAGGCTTCAGTTTGATGCAGGGTATGCTTTACAAAGGTTTTACTGTATTACAAAATCCTGTCATCTCATCATAGTAACAAAGTATACGCACATGATACTTACATCCTCATTAGTGGTTTGGTTTGATGTGGTAAGGTAAGTGTGAAAACCAGCAAGTCCCAAAACACTCCACACACTGAAGAAACACACAACTCCAACGATCACACTTGGTGGAGAGTCTTTCACGGCTTCTAGAAATGGGTGGTCTTCTCTTGTAACTGTCAGAATCAGAATAACATGAACTTAACTGCGGCACACGGGATGACTATATACAGAGCTCAAGATATATAATGCATAACCTTGTATCTTAACATCCTGTTCCAGTTGGTATTAGAATTTATTTTCGCTTGTTTTCTGTCTACCATGCAACAATATCAAGATATAAACTGAATCCTTTTAAAATTCATCACTGCAACACATGCTTCAACCTACCCAGCCATCATCAGACGCACTGAAATTCGGAGGAAATGCTGTGTCTTCCGCACTACTGTGATATGTGTTTTCATATTTACAATGTTTTTAAATTAAGTGAAGGTGATGTTATAATGTAACATAAGCGGCCTCCGTAGTCTAGAGGTAACATTCCCACCTCATGACTCGTGGTACGTGGGTTCAAATACCTGGTGGAGGTTGTCGAAATTTTAAGGGCGGAAAAATTCAGGGAACAAGTCCTCCGGGAGGGACTTTAAGCTGTGTGTCCTGTGTTGTAACTTTACGGCACGTAAAAGAACCTCGTATCCCCAAAGGGGATCACTGAGAGGCCTCTCTGATAGATGGGGGAAGCATTATAGACACCGCTAAGCAAGTGGCCGAACTCGCTTGCTCGGCGGGACTGATGGTACGCACCATTTATCGGTAGGGTTTAGAGACTGGTAGAGTATCATAGAGGGAAGCACAATAGATCAAACTGGTCGCGGTGCATGGGGAAACCCACCCTCTCTAAATAACTAACTATAATGTAACATAACTCATAACATCACACCGCACACTTGATAGACAACAGACACACCAAAAGAGGCAATATATATAGCACAGGATGAGGAACTACTTTCACTTCATTTAAAAACATTGTAAATATGAAAACACCTATCACAGTAATGCGGAAGACACAGCATTTCCTCCGAATTTCAGTGCGTCTGATGATGGCTGAGTAGGTTCAAACGTGTAGCGCGGTGACGAATTTTTAAAAGGATTCAATTTTAAATCTTGATAGTGTTGCATGATGGACAGTAAACAACTGAAAATAAATACAATATATACCCATTTAACAAAATACAATTATCCATACTTTCAAAGCATACTTCATACACCTTCTTTAAAGACAGATCTAAAAGCAAAACAAAAATGTTAAGACAGGACACATAAACAACATGTTCTTCAGTTCATTTTCCTTCCCTTATTCTTACTTCTATATGGACTAGATAATTAACAATGTTACTAAACGGTTCAGTTGCATAAGGCTTCTCATGTCTTCCGTTACATTTCCTTTTTTGAGGAAGAGGGGTCCACATATTGTTACCGATCCACTGCTGTATCTCAAATTAACTCCTACAGAGAAAGAGTGTGGTTTATTTTACAATACTGTCAGAATTTCAGACTATGTAGCACCAAAAGGTAAGTAGATTAGTAAATAAGGCACCAGAAGGGATCTGAAAGGAAGTGGTCATGGCCTATAACTACTAAGATTTGAGTTTTCCAAGACAGTAAAGATTTTGCTGTGGTCTTCCAGGTTATGACACTAAACAGCATAGTCTGGCAGGTGATTACCAACATTTTGGAGGCAGCATGGTAAGTAACCACCTATCAGGCTATGTGCTGTTATAACCCAGGAGGCCACAATCTAAAAGAAACACTATACATTATAAACCACAACATAAATAGACTTTAAAGGATTCTGACGATGGTGTATGATGTACAGAACTATAAGGTTTATTTTGGACTCTATCCATCATCTGGTATATATAAGACAAAAACCACAAAGTCTATATCTTCTATATTTTTTACCCTCATTTTTAACTTAATTCCTGGAACTTAATCCATGCCACTGTTTTATCACATTTTTCACATGTGCATACTTGGCACAAAAGTTTTAGCTTGTCTTTTATTGTGATTTTATTCTTATCTCCCAGTCATGGAACCTGTTGTCAAGTGTTTACAGGCTGTTCTCTTCTGACTGGGATTTTACCAGTGATTGAGATTAGCTCTTTCTAATGGGCCCAACTGAGTAGGTGTATCTTGCCCCATCCACCTGAGGGTGGAGACAGATCCAGTCTCCGAAACGTTGTGCTTTTTGTCTTATATATACCAGACGATGGACAGAGGCAAAATAAACCTTATAGTTCTGTACACAATATAAATGTTACTGAAAATTGGTTATACCATTGTACAAGCCACATTTTAATTAAAAATCTCTTTTGTTTGAGACTATTCACTCAACTTACGAAGAATGAGATGGGTGACTGCACATGCGAAGATAAACACACACAAGAAAGCTAGTGATACGATGAACATATAGAAGTATCGATAATTTCTCTTGCCAACACAGTTGCCTACCCATGGACAGTGATGGTCAAATCGCTCTGCAACAAAAAACATTACCATCTCAATTTCCTGTGTTATTATCAATAAACCAAATAAAAATACATTTGCTCAAACTTAATGCCCTGAATAACGTACCACCCCAAATCTGAAATGACATTCGGAACAAAAACATTTCTTATATATATATATATATATATANAATTTACTGAATATTTTCTTTAATATTGTCACGTATCTTGGGTTTGCGTGACTAGACAGGTCTTTGATCTCATGATCAAATTTACTGGACCTTTATATAACTGGTTACAAGAGTTCACAAATCACTATCTAAGACACTGTCATATTCTTCCAACTGCACACTCCACAGGAACTATTCTGACTTCCAATTGAACTGTCAATTATTGTTGGCTTCTCGTCATATAGCCTTGCGTCACACCACAGCACAATAACACATTCGTTGTCTAGCAATGGATGTCCTTTATTGTCGTGTATTCTTCGGCAATGTGTTTACTGAGCCACTGCCTAGCAAAGGGTCTATGCATCGCAATATAATGAACATACATTCAGGCATCATACTCTTTTAAAGCATTCATTGAAATCTTCTTTATGCATAATTTGAATGTGCATAAATATAATCCACTGTCATCTTTGGGGGAGTTATATCAGTGTTGCACAATGTATGTAATGATCCTATTGTGTTTATGCAAAACCTGTTTAGCATCTTCCTAAACACTCATTTTCCTTGTTTAAATGATAAAAACATGACAACATTGCCTGCAATGAACTGCCCAGGACACAAAGAAGTAACTACTTACAACCTCAGCTGAAGTCTACCCTTAACACCCTATTGTGATTGGCTGTTGTATTTCCATACAAAGGTCAAGCTTCATAACAAAAGGAATGGATTGTAGTTAAAGTGCATAATCCATGATGCATGAGTCAAATAATAATTTCCAATTCTTTTAAAGAAATTAATTTAATAATCAATCTTGCTTCCATTCTTGGGTGATGGCACCATACTGTGGTGTGATGAGCTGACATCAATTCAACAAGCTACCATAACAGACTAAAGATGACTGTAACAACAATATGAATGCCACAGAACTCTTCAGCTAATCTCTCTGTCACTTTGTTATTCACATATAAGAATTTGTTTTCATTGCTTTTTTAAGATGCTATGTCATTCTGTTTTCTACAAGTTACACAGTCATTTATGTTGACTAACATATCTCATGACAATTAAATAGTAAATACAATTAAGAATCCGATCAAGCAAGAACATAACAAGTAGTTCTCTGAAGAAGAATCACTTCTTTACAATACTATCACAGAACTTATTTCTCTATACAATAAAATATAATGTCGTCACCTGATACTATAATAACACAGCACACTGAGTGAATGCAAATGTTACACATAGTTCTAATGTTACCAGTGGGTGGTTCTGTCAGCAACAGTCTCTCTTCCATCAAGTTCTGTCATTTTCATGAAAGCTGCTTATTTAGAACTGCTTACTGAAATCTGCATTTTGTGTTTTACTCACTAATGGATGTTACAATGCTACGATTGGACTTCGAGTATGCATAGCCCCTATTAAATTTATAATTATACATTTTAATTTTTTTCTCAATATCTTATTTAATTGATAGAATCAGCACTTCTTTGATCTTTAAACTGATATGAAGACTATTTGGAAAGTAACCACAGTGAGCTGTTAACAAAAAAGCAATGAAAAAAATTTAAGCTACTTCTCAACATAGTCATTGCTGGAACTGAGGCAATAGTTGTATCAGGGAATATGTTTTTGTGTGCCTGTGTCAAAGAAGTCTGTTGCCTGTGGGCTCAGCCACATTTTGTATTGCAAAACACTAAAATAATGTGTAGGGCCATTCAGAACAAAAGGCATGGAATGCTGACATCCAGTGTAGTGCTCCTGCATGACAATACACACCCACATACAGCTGCTTGCACTTGAGCACCGGTGCAAAATTTCAACTGGGAGCTGTCTGACCACCCTTACAACCCTGAACTCGCTGAGCAACTACCACATGTTTACCTACCTGAAGATCTGACTGGGATCACAGCACTTCAGCAATAATTGGGGTTTGATGGAAGGTGTTAAAACATGGCTGAGCTCATAGGCAGCAGACTCCTTTGACACAAGTATAAAAAAACTTACTCCACTACAAGACAAGTACCCCAATTATAGCAGTGACTACACTGAGAAGTAGCTTAAGTATGTACACATTATTTGTACATAATGATTTTTTTCTCATTGTTTGTTTTGTTAAGAGCTCAAAAGAGGTTACTTTTCAAAAAGACCTTGTAATTTCCAAATTTACAATTTCTTCAGGCAATCTGTGCTCATTCATTCTATAACTGTGCCCTAATCACTTCAGACTATTCATCTGCAGTTCACTTACAATATTCTTTATTTTAAGTCATCTCTTATTTGTTCACTTCTGATTCTCTCTCTATAATACGCCCGTGATTAAGAATAGGCTGCTGTCTTATGAGCTTTCACTTCCAGTAGTATCTGGACTGCAAAATTTGATTTTGTTTCTCTTTCTCTATACTGGGCTGTAATTTGAGAATATTTATTACATAGGACAGTAGCAAATCACAAGTTTTATATCTGTAAGAATGTCATGAGTATCATTTTTCGGGGCTATTTTTTTTATGTGGAGCAAAACGTTTACTGGCAGAGAACCATTAATGTTGCTTTGGTAAGGCATGAAAGGAGCATGTGTTCAGAACCACTACACAAAAACAAGAATAAACAAACAAACTCTCTAGCCTGTAGTCCACAAGCAAACTATACCAACCGAGAAACCGCCTCTTGTCGGCGAAGTTAGTGTCAACTTTTGCGGACAGAAAGTGTCAAGTGGTCAGCGCAATGGATCCCAAGGCCGTTAATCTTGGTTTTCTAGACCGGGGCCACTATTTCCTTGAAATAGCTCCTCAATTATCCTCATGAGGCTGAGTGGACCCCGTTCCAGACCCACTTCTTCTCAGAAAATCTGGTAGCACCAGGAATCAAAACCGGGACATCTGGATCTGTAGCCAGAAACTCTGACCACTATACCGAAGAGGCGGTCTCACACAACAAAAAATTGCAATATTGTTGCCACAACAGAAACAAACTATTCTTAGCACTGGACAAATCTTAGGTGCCAAGATCTCACTGCTCTTCTGTCTAATGGAAAATTTATTCAGTACTTACAAGATCGTAAGCTTTTGGAGCAAATAAATGCTGATGTTTGCTTAAGGATTAATGTTGACAAGGCTGACTTCCCTACAGGATTTTAGTGCAATTAAGTAATTGCTGTTATAAATGTTTGCTCTGTGTAGAATGTAGTTGCTCCATACATATAACTTTCAGTTGAATTTAAAATTATGCACATGTTTGCATGTGTGCATGGGGTTAATTTATAACTGCAGTTTCTTCCATGTATTAGTTTTGTCTCTATAAATCTTATCTCTGACCATTCAAAGAGTAAAGTATAATTGTTCCTGTGCTAAACACAAACCTATACACGTCTCAGAGTAGGGGGTAGTAAAGCTCCGCACATTTTAAACCTAAATGGAGGTGAGCACTAAGAAATCATCCACATATTATTCTTCATGCCAGTACTCTCTACAGATGTCTTAAATTATATAACAGTTTTCGTGAAGCTAAATTTCTGTCACTGTACACATACAACATATGGCTTCCTCTCTGCAACAGTTTTTTCAATGGTATTCACTTGCCTCTCTTTAATACCACCTCAAAACAATTATAAAAGGGCTAAAATAAGCAACACATAGTCAAATCAAATGTAAATACTGCCAAAAACTTAAACTTACCAACACAGTTATCACACAGACTACAGTGGGATGCTCGTGGTGGTCGGAATATCTTACATGTAAAGCAATATTTGAGTTTAACTGATTGACCTCGGACCAAGACCTCCTTCGTCCTTGGTGGTGGGCGATACGTGGGAGAGTTGGCACTGTTCGGAACTTCTGACAGGGAGAAACCCAAAGTTAGTACTCAAATCCATATGTACAATAAGGTATACATGTATAATAAGTAAAAGGCCAAACTGTCATTGTGACTTACAATGGAATTGTCTGATCCGATATGTCGAAAACTGCCCTGAATTTTTTTTTCACTGCAAGAGTACACACAACAAAATCCACTGTCAGAATTTTAGCTGCTAATATGCAGTGCAATTATTTTTTAAAAATTGCTGAACATGGCCAATATGGTAGCCTGCCAGACCCTTGGAGAAATGTCCACCCCTAGCAGACCAGTACACAACACGCAGCATGGCTGACTCACAGCCTAGGCTGGGGTTGTACAAACCTCTGGTACAAGCAGTTCCGCATACAGAAAAAATGAGTAATTTGGCAATTTTTAAAAATACTTGCAGTGCGTATTAGCAGCTAAAATTTTGACAGTGGATTTTGTTGTGTGTACTCTTGCAGTGAAAAAAAAAAAAAAAATCAGGGCAGGTTTCAACATGTTGGATCAGACCATTCCCTTGTTAGCAACATGCCATAAAGCATAGAAGAGGCAAAGAATACAACTTCCATACATTCAGAACAGCAGAACTAGATACAGGCAAGCACTCCTCCCTGGGGAATTTTTTCCCAACCCACATCTAACCATGCAGGTAGTAAAATGAGAACATTTCTGTCTTTGCTAAGAATAAAAGCCATTCAACTTAAAGACAGTCCCGTTACAGACGAAACTGTCTCAGCTTATACACAACAGAATCAAAAATGAAAAATGAAAATCACAATAACTGTAGTAAATTCCAGTTTCTTACCAACTGTGCATCTTTGGTTTGCTGATCAAATTTATAGCACACAAGATGGTTTAAAAATGAAAGCACAAAAACTGGGAAATGGTAAAACTGTTTCAATATATCAGCACCCTTCAGCTTCAAAATTCCATAAAACACTGGCTGTGAATCAAGGTCTTACTTTCTTTTAATTAGTGATTACAATTCACACAGAAGAATATATGATTTGTTGCTGACACATCTCAGCATTGCAGACTATGGATACTATGTCACCAGACATTCTTCCTTCCCAAGGATTTATTTCTGATATGATATACACATCAGAAATTTTTCACATATGCAAAATTACTTTCATACAATTTATTAAACATTCAGTGAACCTTAGGCAAACTTCTTTGGTATTCATGGTTTCCAAACTACTCTCTTGCTCACATTGTGTTGCAATTCAAATTACATCGTTTCTCACATTGAGAGCTCACATCTTAATATTACTTCCTCATTTCATCAGTCGCACAATTCAAGTCAGAAGCAAACATAGGGCATGTAATGTTACCCTCACTAAACAATCCAAAGATCAATTTACAGTAACAAATTTGGACAGCTACAGAGCTGTCATTTTTGTGTATAATCAAGCATCCATCCAGAATTGCCATAACAGAATAAATCCACATTACCTACCTATTTGTTTCTCAGTGTATGCAGCTTCATCTGGTGTAGCCCTTGGAATGACACCAGGGTCACTAAAGCTGGTTCTTAGTAATGCTGACATGACGAACATAAACAGCAATCCCCCAATTACTGGAATGGCAGGCGTAATACGAACTGCTAGATATGGGCAACTGTCATGAAATAATAAGTATTGCAATTACAAACGTCAAAAACGAATGTTTCATTCTACATTTTCTAAAAGTAAACCACATACATTAAACTTACTCAAATGCAAAGAAGAGGCCACTCGTCCCCACTATAAGGCCAACAGTCACGTAAAATACACCAGTTTGTGGGGCCATCATTATACGCCCATCACAATGAAAGCGATTCCTTCCAGGAAATAATTCCCATTTCCGTGTGACATGCGGCATTTTTTCAAAATCTTCGAAGACCTGAGCAGACCTTCCTGGGGGATACTCTGTAAGGACAGGGTGATATATGTAATCAGGGTCTATGACCATCAGGTTTGCATTAGGATTGTTGAGTTCTTTCAGTGACACTGCACATGAAATCGGTTTGGCACACTTTTCTAGCAGTAATTATATAATTATGAACCGCTCTTGTCTCGTGTTAATTCTTTTTTCATCTTCACAAAATCCGTGCATCCAAACGCCATTTTCATTTTTGAGTTTAACAACTTTTCAAACGTACACTTCCCATGAATGCCATTCAGCAGTACGTTCCTCAACTTCCTCAAGAAACAAACGTAGAGAACTGGCGCACCTGACCTGACAGTGCCACTACGGCCGCATGGTGATTCAATGAACTAAGGACATGAAACGAGAGAACCGTGGCAAGCGCAGTAGCGGGAAGGGGTTGGATTTCGGTGATGTGTCATTGTAGTATGTGTAGTACATAATGGATTCCGGTGAAAAAGAACCTAAAATTGATAAAATAGGTTATCAATATAAAGCTGAAGATAATGATAAGAAGTTTAGGATTAAAGGTACCCAAATTACTTACACAATACAGACATGTACGTTATTTAACCTTGCATCTGGAAATTAAATTCAACTAAATAGGAACCGAAGAAAGTTCATCATGCCTGTAAACAAATGTGCTAAATAGTCAGTTTTACTGCTGTTACGGAAACTCTTATAATTTATTGCACCAACCCTGAACAGATCCGGCCTTCGTGACCTTGTAAGTCATAACCTTATATAAAACACTTGTCAGTTTTTCTATAATAAATATTATAAGTTGTACAGTATACACATATGAACTTGAGTTTGAAGAATTGAAGTATAGTACCAACAATTAAAAATTCTACCTCTTCAATCGCAATACATATTATCGCTTCTCTTATTTGTTGTTTACAACAAAGATAAATTCAAATTAAATTCTGATGTCTATAACATGAATACTAGACAAAAATATAACTTCCACCTACCCTCATCAACTTTATCAGTATATCAAAAAGGAGTCTACTTTACTGGCATAAAAGTGTTCAACAATCTGCCACAAAGTATTAAAAACTTGGGCAATGATACT